ACATAAATAAATAAAACATACATAAGCCTATCCACTGACACGCGCTCCTTGCCCGTGTGTGCCTATCTGCCACAGATTGCCGTGCTGCTATTCAAGAGTGGTTAAGGCCACTCATCCTGCCTGGTCTGGATCTGGCTCTGTGTCTCGTGCCGTTTCAGCCCAGGCACTGAGGCCAGCTCACGTACCGTGTGGTCTATCTGCGGGTAGCGAGACAGCCACCGCATAACAAGCCGTGCGTGTGGGTTTGGGGTGAGAGTTTGGGTCTGATGCGGGTGTGGGTGTGGATGTGGGTGTGGACAAGTATGGGAAGCATTAATTGCGATAGAATGTTATAGGGATTGGGGCTGAGATGGGTGTTACAGGAAGCACAGGCTGCAGGGCGGCGTCCGTGCCATCCATCCGCTGACGCTGTGGTTGTCACACGCTGACGCTGTGGTTGATACACGCTGACGCTGTGGTTGTCACACGCTGACGCTGTGGTTGTCACACGCCAACGCTGTGGTTGATACACGCTGACGCTGTGGTTGTCACACGCCGACGCCGTGGTTGTCACGCGCTCGGCGATAGAACGGCATGGCAGACGGGCACAACTGACACAACGAGAGAGGAGACATACATACTGCAGCGGAGGCTAAGTCGGTTAGTGCACTATGGTGGTATGGGAGCCGATACGATTGCTACTTCACCTAACTGCTCGATCTGCGGCTGGGGCTAGGAACGCCGTTGCCAGCGAGCGCGTGTGTGTTGGAGGAGAGTCTCACGGTTGACTTGTTGACTTGGGATGGGATGGTAATCTGTGTCGCAGTTTGTACACACACAGACGTTGACGGGGCATGTAATGCTTGGCTCGGGTGTCCAGCGAGAAGCAGGAGTGTGATGGGTTTTAGGGTCTTGGGGTTAAACCCTAAACCCTAAAACTCTAATGTACCGTGGTCGCGCTAGGTTCTGCGTCCCGCAGACGTTGTGTACATCATAGTTGTTGCCACTAGAGCAGTGTTCGTATGGGCCAGAGTGATCACATATCTGATGGGTCTGTCGGGTTGCAGCCACGGCTACACGGCTAGTTACTTGGTCTGCCCGAATGCGAACTTGATGCCGGCCTACGCGTACAAGACCAGGAGGTGGGGTGAGTGTTTGTACTCGAACGGCCGCAGATGTCGGAGAGATGGGAGGAAAGCGGGATCACAGCACAGGAGAGATGACAGAAACATGCTGCAGGGTATCACATGCACGTACAGATATTGATTGTAACAACACGAATAAAGAGATTGGAATTGGGGGCAAATCGTTTGTGTGCGTGGGATTAAATGGCAGAAACAAGCCGCATCGAGGTGAATACTTGTGTAGGTGCGGTTGGCCGGAAGCTTTGAGGACCTTAAACGCCACCGTACACCCAAAACGCATGTGGGGAAAGGTAGGTTTAGGTCGTTGATGCCATACACGATGTGGGGAGTAGAGCTTGGTCGCCTCAGATGAGGTACGGTTGCCAACTTAAAGTGCATCGAATGGTACTATCAAGCATCTTGCTTTTAGTCTACAGAATATAGGCCGAGACAAATGGGCTCCCGCGCAAACTCAATTGCGTTGCCACTGTTAAATTTGACGCCAGTCCAGGAAAGCACAAAGTGCCCGAGCGCAGTCAATGCCAAACAAACAGTCGACCAGTCATCGGTGCATCATCGCAAGACAGGTACTTGCCTGCTCAAACTATGAGGCCATGGCAAAGCACACTATTATGTACATCAACCCTCCAATCAAGCACACTATTATGTATATCAACCCTCCAATCAAGCACACTATTATGTATATCAACCATCCAATAAAGCACACTATTATGGATATCAACCCTCCAATCAAGCACACTACTATGTATATCAAATTTATGTATATCAACCCTTCAATAAAGCACACTTTTATGTATATCAACCCTCCAATAAAGCACACTATTATGTATATCAACCCTCCAATAAAGCACGCTATTATGTATATCAACCCTCCAAAAAAGCACACTATTATGTATATCAATCCTCCAATCAAGCACACTATTATGTATATCAACCCTCCAATATAGCACACTAATATGTATATCAACCCTCCAATAAAGCACACTAATATGTATATCAACCCTCCAATAAAGCACACTATTATGTATATCAACCCTCCAATATAGCACACTATTATGTATATCAACCCTCCAATAAAGCACACTAGTATGTATATCAACCCTCCAATCAAGCACATGCATCCAGGGTATCCAATCTCCAATCCAATAAGTTTCAAACATCGTTCACAATATCTAAACCACATCATATCCCAATACACCCCCCCCCAATCATAGTACCCCTACTTTCGATCCTAATTTACCTTGGTGGGCTTTTTCTTGCCAAACCCGAACGATAGCGCTGGTCGGTTCGCAGCAGGCGCCGTTGGTATCTGTTGCGATGGAGTTGGTACCAGCTCCGACCCGAGTGAGGTGAGCTGCGATTGGTCGACTGGTGCCATTGGCGGCGGCGGTGGTGGTGGCTGGATGCGGTTGGGCGGTGGGGGCGGGGGTGGCTGCAAGGCACTCGAAGGCTCAGGGATAGCTTGTATGCCTGTGTGAGGCGTACGAGTATCATTGCGGGTGTACGTGTGGTTGGTGCTGTGGCTGGTGTGGTTGGGGTGGGTGTTGCTAATGCTGCGTGGTTCGCTCTGAATCCGCTGGAAGGAGCCGCCTGGTTGCGGATGGGTTCTATTTTGGGCTGTCTTTTGATTGGCTGGTGCTTCAAGGTTGTGATATGATTGGTTCCGGCTCTCTGAGGGTGTGCTCTGCGATTGGGTGCTTTTCTGAGCGGCCGATGCGAACGCTGACATCTTGGCCATTTCCCGTTGCATCTTTTTGTCTTCCTTTTTCCTAGACAATCCTGTGGAACACAGGGACAGTATAGAAAGAACCAGCATAGCGTTAAACGCCTGTGCAAAGACACGGGTAGAAAGCATGAAGACATACAGATAACGAACCAGCATAGCGTTAAACGCCTGTGCAAAGACACGGGTAGAAAGCATGAAGACATACAGATAACGAACCAGCATAGCGTTAAACGCCTGTGCAAAGACACGGGCAGAAAGCATGAAGACGTACATGGTGGTATGTACAGAATACGACTTTTGGGCGACATATCGATTGGTTTCGGATTGCTTATATATCGAATCGTATCAAATCATCCAGCATACAGCGAGCGAAAGCCTATCGCAATCATCAGTATATTAGACGTCTCCGGGAGATGTATGGTCAAAGAGTACTAAGGTACATCGAGGTGAATCGTTTCCCCTCTATGAGTAGCCTAAGACAATGGTGTGTGGTGGAGACGGTCACAGAACTCATGCGATTCTCGACCAACCTTACTGTGTCATACCAACATGACTTCAATATACCACAACTGCACATACCAACATTGACTTCAATATACCACAACTGCACATACCAACACCACTTCAATATACCACAACTGCACATACCAACACCACTTCAATATACCAACATCACTTTAATATACCACAACTGCACATACCAACATCACTTCAATATACCACAACTGCACATACCAACGCCCCCTTTCCTCGTCTTCTCTCTGCGCGCCAGTTCTTTCAGGCGTTTGGTGTGGTGGTGGTCGTAGGAACTCATGTGGTTCTCAAATTGCATGACCGTCACATACTGCTTCACACAGTCGGCGCAGTAGAACACCTCGTTGACCTTTTTGATCTCTTTGTCAATCTCCTCCTTTTTCTCTACCTGCAGAGGTAAGGCAGGCAATTGCGTTAATTGTTATTGTTATTTTTGTCACTTGGCCTGGGCAGAGGTAGGGAATTGCGTTAATTGTTATTGTTATTATTGCCACTTGGCCTGGGCAGAGAGAGGGGCACCTGTAACTAGGCGACCATCTACACCAGTATACAATCTAGGCCTGGGCATGGTAGTGACACGCGGGCACGGTACAAAGATACATAGCACTCACTCAATACAGCAAATCAGTATGCGGCAGCACAGTATCTTTATGTGTCACATGTACAATTCGAAATGACGGGCATGCAAGCTGGTCCGGATTGTTGGCTGTTTGTTCTGATGGGAGTTGGTATCACTTCAGCAGCCAGCAGAAGTGTTTTTACAAATTTAAAACCAAAAAAACAACACACTCGCTCGCGCGAATAGTTATAACTATATCGCAGAACAACTGAACACAGTTCCTCGCCACACCAATCCAACGACTTATAGTATCAAACACTTATAATCCAACGACTTATAGTTTCAAACACTTATTATCCAACGACTTATAGTATCAAACACTTATAATCCAACCACTTATAGTTTCAAGCACTTATAATCCAACCACTTATAGTTTCAAACACTTATAATCCAACCACTTATAGTTTCAAACACTTATAATCCAACCACTTATAGTTTCGAACACTTATAGCACACCAATCCAACCATTTATAGTTTCAAACACTTATAATCCAACCACTTATAGTTTCAAACACTTATAGTACACACAACACACACGCGCACATGCCCTTGAAGCCAATTGCCATTTACTGCCTCTCCTGCACACACTTTAGATTCTTTGCGCTCTCTCATCCGTCAGAACATCCTTTAAACTTCACACACACACACTCGCCACACCTGATGTCAAGCAAGCCAGCTCCACCTCTAGTCAAGTCACACGTGGTTATATGATCTGTCTCTAGTTTTTATACTTCACTGTACAAGCTGCTCCATTGGTTTATCACACACTTCACTCAAGTCACACGTGGTTATACACTGCACACACCAAACGCACGCAGCGCACAACTACACACACCTCCAGCTTGCGCTTGTCTTTAAGCTCTTCCGTCTCTTCAATTTCACTCATCAGTTGCTTTCTGCTCTCGGTCGCCTGGCCCGCAGTGGTGATCTCCATGTCCCACCGGCCCAAACCCATTGCACCCAGGACAGGGTTGGACCGGACCGGTTCTGTCCTGCCGTCCTTGTGGAGACCCAAACCTTCCCCCCCCTTCCACCCCATTTTCAGCAGCATTTGGTAGCCCATATTACTCTGTAGTTGAACCGCACCACAACACATGAGCGACCTATGATACATTGTATGTACAAATACATCCACACCACTGCCACACAAGAACGAAATAGGCGCCACTTGTGATGGTTCTTTCAGTACCCACAGTTGAATTATTTTACTGTTTTGCCTCTGTATACACGAGGTTTTCAACGTTTTTGCGGTGTATGGCCAGCAATACACGAGAAGATCATATAGAGATGAGCGTAGATATTACTTCCAAACAACATAAGGAGTGAATCTATACATCCGAAGGGAGGTTTATATACACTTTATTCGGAAAATAGAACAAATCAATCATTCCGAGAGTTAGATTTTATACAAAATAAATTTAAAAAGGCATACAGTTATACATATACATATACCTATACACACACACACACACGCACATACACACACACACACACGCACTACT